GGAAGACCAAGTGTGGGTGCTTTGGTCCTTCTTAGGAGTAACAAAATACTCAAGGGAGCAAATAAGGAGACAAAGTGTGGGACAGAAACTGAAGAATGGGCTATCTGGAGACCATCCTATCTGGGTATCCATCCCATGTGCAGTCACCAAAGGTAGATGCTGATGTGGAAGTCAGGAAGTGCATGCTGACAGTAGCCTGATATAGCTGTCTCCTTATAGGTCTGCCAGAGTCTGACATATTCAGAGGAGGTTGCTCACAGCTAACCATTGAACTGATCATGGGGTTCCCAATGGAGGAGTTAGAAGACTGAAGGAGCTGAAAGGGTTTGTGGCCCCATGAGGAGAGCAACAATACCAACCAACCACAGCTCCCAGGGTCTAAACCACCAACCAGCCTGGGAGCAAATAGGGAGGGACCCATGGCTCCAGCTGTATATGTAGGGAAGGTGGCCTTGTCAGGCATAGGTGAGAGAGAAGATCTTTGGTCCCATGAAGGCTTGACACCAATGGGGGAATTTGAGGGTGGGGAGGTGGGAGTGGAGGGTGGATGGGGGCACATCCTCATAGAAGCAGGAGAAGGGGGAATAGGAGATTCTTGATGGGGCAGGGGGATGCGGTAAGGGGATAACATCTGAAATGTAAATAAAATATCCAAAAAAAGGAAAGGAAGGAAGGGAGGGAGGGAGGGAGGGAGGGAGGGAGGGAGGGAGGGAGGGAGGGAGGAAGAAAGTTAAAAGGGGGTGGGGAGTAAAGTAAAAGCCAAGCATGTGCAATGAGTAACCAAAGGACAATACATCATGATTTTGAGTGGAGCTTTTCTCCAGAGGAGCAAAGTTTGAATGCACCATGTAAATTAAAACAAAACCCAGCTCAGTAATAAAGCCAAAAGGTAAGAAATATTTATCAGCATGGATAAATCTTTAAATGTATTATTCTAAGTGAAAGATGCCAGGCGACAGGGCAACATATTGTGTGGGTTATTTCTTTTTTTTTTTTTTTATCTTTAATGTATATAATTTTCCTTTATTTATATTTAAATTTTCAATTTTCTCTAATACGTATAAATTGTATATTAAAAGTAAAGAGCTAAGAAAGAAAGAATGAAAAGCTTAAGGAAGATCAAAACTAAACAGCAGCTGCCATATAAGCCACACCAACGCTCACTGCTTTTCCACCTGAGTTAAAACACTATATATTCATGTAACTGATATCCAACATCTGGTGGCAGACCTCCACCTCTGAGTACAAAATCCACCTTGGTACTACTAAGATGAAAACCTTTCAGATGGGCTAGAACACAATGAATTAAAAGAAATAAAAAAGTAAGATTGAACATGTGGTGATGGGAACCACAAGCCTCCTAACCGCTTGTGGATACTGAATGAATTCAACTTCTACAGGATTGTGTTAGGCACAGTGTGTAGATGTCTCATCAATACTGCTGTTAGTTTTTTGAATTTTTTTTTTAATTTCTTTTTTTTTTTTGAAATGCTTTTTTATAGCATGTTTTACAAGGGGAGGGAGTAAGAGGGTCCAGGTGGTGGAAAAGTACAAAATCTTCTTGGCCTGTGCCTTGAAACATGTCATGGTCTATATGGTACACTGCCTTGAATTATGATCTACCTGCAGTTCTTCAGAAGATATGGTACACTGCTTGAGTTATGGTCTCCCTGCTATTCTTAAGAAGACATGGTACTCTGCTTTGAGTCTATCTGCAGTTGCTAAGCAGGATCTTGCAGTTGCCAAGCTTCAGAGGACATTGTGCAGGTGGGGAAAGGTAGGGGGTAAGGGTAAGGGCGAGGGTCCTGGCTTCTGGCATCTCCCCCTTCTCTGTTTAGTTAGAGAAGGCGTCTTATGTTCAATCGTGTGGGTTATTTCTTAAACCTTTGGAAAGGTATGCTGTCAGGACAGCCTTCAGCTCCATGGGGTTAGGAGTAGAGGCGGAGGTAGAAGTTGGCCACCAGGGAATTTTGATGAGATGTAGAAATATTCTGTATCTTTTATTAAAGTTTGAATAGTGCTTGCATTTGTTAAAATTCATCGGACTATGTCCCTTAAAAGACTGAGATTTGTTTATAAAAACTATATATACTTCAGTGGACCTCACTTGACCAAGCAGAATGAATCAGGTAATAAAACAGATAAAGATGGCAATTAGTAGTAACAATGACAGTCTTTGCAGAGGCTCTTTCCTGTCTAAGGGTGAGTGTGAAGTTATAGAGCTGTATTTCTACCAAGATATTCCTGGAGATCAAATCCAAAGCCTTACAAAAACTCTTCAATTGATCTACCCTTGACATGCACTTATATTTTAACATAAATTTTTCTTTTAATTAAGATATATTAATTATACAAAATTGTTGTATTTGCTGTGACATTTGCATGCATGGATATGATGTACTTGGATCACTCCATTTTCCTCTTATATCCCTCTCCCCCCTCTGAACTACCACTTCCATTTCCTTAATAACTCCCCTTCCACTACCATGTAATTTTTCCCTACTCCACATATGAAAGGAAATGGGTAATGGATCTCTGAGTCTGGCTTATTTCACTTAATATCATAGTCACTGGCTCCACCTACTCCCCCCCCAAACAATATAACTTCATTCTTCTTTATGTCTAAATAACACTCCATGGTGTATACATAACACATTGTATTTATTCATCATTCATTGATTTTATAAATTGTCTATTGTATATAGTACTACATTTAATATGCCTTTGTGGGTTTTGTTTTGCTTTTGATTGGTTGGCAGTCTTTTTGTATAAGGTCACAGCTAACTGTCCGTCCCTGGATTCTTCTGTTTTGGACTCCCTATAATCAATAACAGAACATTTCAGCTTCAAGACACAGATTGCCTGCCTTTCACTGGCTCATATCTTGACAATCTCGTCTAGTATGTGAATCCTGCTCAAATGTCATTTTCCTTCAATTGTTCAGTTTGAATGTGCCTCCTCTTTACTAAGAGAATCCCAACTAATAAAAACAGCAATGCTCAATCCCTGGTCCCATCACTTTCAAGCTGTGAGGAATTGGGCTATTATTTTAAAAGATGTGCAGTGTCAATGTGGTTTGTTTGTGTCCTACTAGTTGTGAATAATTCCTCCTTGGTAAGGTTGCTATCTGAATGAAATAAAGATCTATTTGCTCAAAAAATTTATTAATATTTCCCTTGTCTTAATTCTCCCCAATTGACATGGTGTGCCTATTTTCTTCATCTTTATGTATTTTGCATATTCCATCTCTCTTTTTAGCTGTAAGATAATGTAAAGTGTATAAATAAGTCCCACAGAAGAGTGTAATATACAGAAGCTTGTTCAAATGACTTCAATGTATCATGGCTGCATTTCTGGAATAAACGGCTGCTATTTTTTTTTCTGCTGCAGAACAGTTAAGTTAAACTTTTGAATTAGGTCAACAAAATCCACAAATAGGCTGGAATCTTTGGACTGTGTAACAGGGACAGATCTGGAATGAATCAGCTGTAGATATCACTTGTCAGAATTCTGGGGCGGGTGGGACATCACAGATCCTGGCTGTGGTAGCATCATGATGTATCCATTAACACTATATTGAGAGTTTTCCATCATGTGGATTCAAGCTTAATATAATTGTTTTATGGTGGTAATGTCTAAACAAGGTTCCACAATTAGGTTATATTTTTATCTTCACTTGGGAACCACTGCTGCCAACTGCTCAGATTTCAGGCTTGTTGAGACATATGTTATCCCTGGAAGCCCTTCGTAAAAACAAAGTGTTTTACTGTCCTACCAGTTCAGTGTGCTCTGGTTGGCTTGCCTGTGTAACTCCAAATTAACCATGCAATAGTTCCTATGCTAGTAAATAGTATTTTAAATGGCTTGTAAGCAAAACCAAAGAAGAACAGTTTTATTTCTAATTGTGAGAAAATATAATCTGGTTTAGATTCTCTTTGGTAGCTTTTAAAATAGACAAAATGCAACCATGGGCAAAGAACTGGATATGGAAATATGATATAAATTTGTAATCTAGCTCTGGCAGCGCCCTTAGGTGTGCGTCCTCAGGAAGTCAGTGAATGTTTCTAGCCTCAGTTACTGTATCTGACAAATAAATGGAGTGCCACAGTGAGTCAAACAAGCCAAAGATGATCTAATAGCAAAGAAAGTGCCTATAAAGTAAATTATTTCTAATATACATATGCAGAAAGATGTGATTTCCAGGAAATGAAGATGAAGAAAATATTGAGACAGAACAGGGACTATTTTGATTGAAATAAAAGGTAACAAGAGCAAGATAAGGGTGACTATAACCTCTGCATTTATAGCCACATGCCACAGTGCTTTATTTATAGGTTAGTGGCAAGTTTCCTAGTATAAGCATGCCAGTTAAGAAATACCTGTCTGTTTCAGGGACACAGCAGCGTGCACCCAAGGCACAAACCACTCATCATTTATGTAGATGATCATGTGATGAAAAGGTCCCTAAATCTACCAATAAATCAGTATGTGATTTATAATCCTTTTAAATCTTGCTGTAACTTTTTAGACCTTGTTGGTGAGTTTCCCAAATCTTTGTGCATTCAGTTTCCCAAATACATTTTTAATACTCAGAGCTCAACTAAAATCTCTGGTAGGGATGCTGCTGCTGAAGCTGAGCCCTAAGCTTAGGGTGTACGTAAGGTTTCCAGAGTTAAGCTACTATCGCTACTCAAGTACCACAATCAAAGCAATAGACAGAACAAATGTGGAATGAAGAGGGAGAAATGGGAAAAGGGAGGGGATGAGAGAGGAGGGGAGAGACTGGAAAAAAGGAGGGACAGAGGAGGAAGGCTGAAGGGAGGGAGGAATAGAGGGAGAGAGAGAATGTGTGTGCGTGTGTGTGTGTGTGTGTGTGTGTGTGAAATGTTCCATGGAAAGTCTGTAGAACTGATGTAAGAGAAAGCAACGACAGGGGTTGGAGTAAGTGGAGTAGAACTGAGACTATAAAAACACAGAAAGAAACTCGCATCAGGGCTAAGTTTGGGACAAGCTGCAGGCAGGACTCTAAAGTTAGGAGCTCTGACTTCTGACAAGGTAAGCTAAATGTGAAAACTGATAAAGACTTCATGTTTAGGTTTCTTTCTAACTGTTGCTTTTATTTCCACATCCTTCTTAACTATTTCATATATGCCTTGGTTTTGCTAAAATTAGAAGCAGCTGTTGATAAGTTTTCCTTTTTGGTGGGAGGAGTGGAAAATCTAGCATATTTTGTAAAACAAATTGGGAAGAGATAATTGGTAGACACTTCATACTTATTATATTGATTTGTGGTTTTTCTTTTTATTCAAAACCAGAGAGAGAGAGAGAGAGAGAGAGAGAGAGAGAGAGAGAGAGAGAGAGAGAGGACTCAGGAGAAATGTTCATGGTTTTATTTTTCTTTCACCACAGATGTCCAGTATTAAGAAATGCAAGAAATGTGGGTTTTTGTACAAATGATCAAGTTTAAATAGTTTAGATAGATGAGAAGGTTTTTCCATTCATCTATATTTCTAACAAAATTAAAGATTAAGAGTAACTCTAAAGAAATAAAATTCTAACGTATCTTGTTTCTCATTAGAAAAATTAAATATAATAATAGCAACAACATTACAGTAGATTTACATAATGTTTTTAGTTCAATATTTAAAACGTTCTTGCTACTTACTGATTGAATTAAGTATTAATAATCTAATACATATTTTTCTGCTATGTTGGAGACAAAATTAAAAATTCTGCTCCAGGTTTTTATCGCTAAAGTAACATGTAAGGTTATAGTCGATACATTGAGTTCTAATGGTATAATATTTCTGCTCTGAATTGTATGGGTAGATTATACAGGTATGGATAACATCTGTTACTATTCTTTTTTAGATATGTGATTACTATGTTTCTGGTTCATCCTTCTAGAAATGCATTATAGCAATTTAAATGTCCATGCAGTTAGCAAATTAATGGAATCATCTAGAATTTTCTACTCCCAAAAGAACAGTGTCTGTTGGCCTTTCTCTTTACTTTGGTACAGTTCTTCAAGATTTTTAATGACTTTCTCCCGGGGCATCTTCTGCACAGCGTTCCTGTCTCCCCTACAATTTTATTGCTCCGTAGTCTCAGTCAAGCAGTAAAAGGATTCAGGGTTGGCATTTGGTTTCTCCTTTTTATTTCACAGGGTTTTAAAGAATTCTTACAAAATGAACCATAAGCAATAAAAGAGAATATACCTTTGTGTGACAAGATATAGGAACCTCTGGATTATGTTTTATTTCTATTTCTTGTTTAAATTTTCTTAATGATTTTGATTTTTTATTTTTTTGGTTTAGTCAACTTAGATCAATTCTGTTTGTCTCAAATGAAAATAAATATAAAATACTATTGTAGTCCTGTCTTGTCTTCCTCTGCACTTCACATAAGCATCAAGCACAAAGTAGGACTTGGTACTACTTTGTTACTGAGCAGAGAAAGTAAATACAAGTGGGAAGACCATGCAAAGATACAGTGACCAGGGAGCTCCTTTACCAATTACCTTGCCCACGTTAAAGAATATGTGTCAGTACCACAAAATCTAAAGGCTAATCTTTAGATGTGATCTAATTTAACTTCTATCCATAAGTTGCCTACTGTGTTCCTACCCTCTAGACAAGTCTTAATTGGATTCGTTGGTTCAGCCAAAGGAACACAGACCTTGATTCTGGAAGCTAGACTTCTAACCCCAGTCCCACCCAACAACTGTCTGAAACATTCAGATTGCCTGGGTGTTTTTGTAGAAAAACTGAAGTCTGTAGAGATGCCATCAGGAAGTAAAGGTCCTCTCCTCATACTGGCCATTTTTAGAAGAGTATATTTAAGCTGGACAGTGGCTTCAGTGTAGGTCAATTTTCAGATTATACACCACACACACACACTTTCCCAGATAAATCTAGAGCTGTGCTCTAGAGCAGTGATAAGCTTTGCTTGGCAACGGTTGTTCATTGCTTTGGGTGGCTTGAGCTGGGTTTAGCTCAGTGCTACTATTTCTTCCTTCCAGACATCCCATCAGCCCAAGTATTAGAATTAAGCACTCCTCCCTCCAGCAACAGTGCTCTTCCTCCGTTTTCCCTCCCTCCTCTAACAGTTCTCTGCCTCCCCTTCCCCTTCATCCTTCAACATTCTTTGTGTTCCCTTCTCCAAACTCATCTGCTTCCTCTACCAGCAGTGCCCCCCACACCTTCCCTGCTTACACAGGCATGACTTAAATCCTCTCCTTGAATCAAATTCATTTCTTTTTCTGCAAGTCTTACTTTCCCAGGTATTGGTGATTAAATTCAAATGCATCTAACATTGCCCTCTTCTTTCCTAAAACCCCAGATTCCTATGGAACTTAAATCTCCAACCATAGGAAAACTGTACTTTAAAAAGCATATAATATTAAAAATTCACTTTGTTTAATGTGTTCAGAGTTTGAAGAGTAGTTATGGTTTGTGTAGAAATGAGAGTGCTTCTCTTTATCTTCCACCCAGGACAACTGACTAGTTAGAACTGAACGATAACATTTTCATGGAAATGCTACAACTCAAAGTAGTCATAGTGTTTTGAAAATTACCCTGACTGTTGCATGGAAACATAAATTCTGATTTTACCTGCTTCTTTTATTTAATATGTTTTTAACTAAAACATAATTATATAATTTTCCACCTTTCTTTCCTTACCCCCAACCTCCATTCTAAATCGATGGCATAGTTTTCTTTGATAATTACTGTTTCATATTTATATATAGACACATAAATATAAGCCTATCATGCTGAGTTCATCAGTGTTATCTGTGTGCATACTTTTGTGGGCTGACCACTTTGTTCTAAGTAGCCAATTAGTGATCTCACCCATGGGAGATGCTAGCTCTCTGTCTCTCAGCATTTAATATTATTTTCACTATTGTCTTAGTATTTCTACCACTATACCCTGTCTCTAGATTCTAGGCACTAATGTTCTTTCTTAAAGTTTAAGTTCAAGGATTATAGTTTTCATAACGCTGTGTAGTAATAGACATTTTTTTAAGTTCCCACATTTTAAATAATGTTATTATTGCTTATTGAATGATTGCTATTGCTTGTGGGTTCACATAAAGTATTTTCACAATAAATCTGCAGAGTCAGTCTCTATCTGTTTTCCAAATCCAAATACCAAAGAAGAAGAATAAGTAAACAGGTCTTACTGGAGCTCCGATTCTGTGCTATGTAATTCGAGGGCTTGCACGTTTCCACTCTTCTGCCTTGTTCCAGTAGGAAATACAGGAGGTACAAAGGGATTAGGTCCTGTGGAGATTCAGCTTATCTTAGCTCATCAGCTTTAAACAAAAGAACACATTCCATACTGACCCAACATGATTGCTGGATGCACAAAAGGATTCAAGATAATTTTTAAAATATTAATGTTTTTATTAAACTATGTAGAATTTTTAAAGATTATCCAAATATTGAAGAAAGAATATGCTCTTGCAAGAAGAAATCTGTGGGCAGCTAAGTAGGCAAGTAGGCTTGGGCAGGTGTCTGTGTCTAAATCTCACATTTTTAACATACAAAATATGATTAATGATTACATCTTGCTGTGAAGTAGAATAAAGTTCATATGTACCCTTTTATTTAAATTTTAGAGTGTATTTTTCACTGCTTCTAGTAGCTAATTTTATGTGACTTAAGTATAAGATTAATATTAAATGTTGTATGTGTTGAAGGGATGATAAAGGATGGAGTGGTAATAGGCTACTTCCTCCTGAAGCTTATATGTTCAATATAAGCTCATTCCACTTACCTACCTTGATCTTCTGAAGAACTTTTTATGTTATAGTTCCCATGCAGCAAACCTTGCATTCAGGTGCAGCTCTGTCAACCTTTTCTCTATCCACAGTGTCAAAGGCTGTATTTGTCCCATTGGTGAGTATCAGAATCAAACAACTAATTTCATTCAAGATTTGGCTACAATCAAAAGCTAACACTTCTTTCTGGTTGTAGGAAGCAATGTTTCACCATATCATTCAGCTATGCAGAGGTCTAATTGCCAGTTGGCATTTAATGGGATGTCTGAAGCTAGCTACAGGAGCGATTCTTGGGGGATTTGATGTGTATCACTTCCACAGAGATGAGAATGAGGAATGGTACTGAATGTGACTGGACTCTAGCATGATTCAATGAAACTTCACAGTTAGTGAAAAACATTGTCTGTATTTTCCCTTAACCTAGCTTAGCATATTGATGTGAGTTAGCTTCCATACCATGTAAACTTGGCTATTAATATCTACCATGCTTTCATGCTTACCTACCCATTAAGACTGCTTTCTTAAATACACAATGTTGCCTGCCAGGTAGTTTTCAAGGTGCAAACATGGAATAGTAAATACCACACAACCACTGCCCTTGAGGAGCTTATAAATAATGCCAAACTTTGTAATTGCATTTAAACATTTTGGTGGTGGTGTTACAGGAATTATTCTTTAGGCTAACATGTTAAGCTTCATTCTTCTTTACTAATTTTTAAAGATTATGATTGAGAATTTGTTTTAATACCAAAGAAACTTAATATAATTTTTATTGTAATATTGGAAACCAACAGTAAATGAAATGGTGTCAAATTTAAAAAATCAGTTGATAAATGTATATATGTATATATATATGATTATATATACATAATATTTACATACATAATATTTACATATATTTACATACATATGATTATATGTACATTATTAGAAATGGAAATGCATTTTGCATTTTCATACATATATACATTATATAATTAGCAAAACAGTTTTCCATCTCAAAAACAAATTTCAGATAAGGAGAAATCTTTATGGAAGCATTTTAAAATTAATTTCCCTGAGTGTTACAAGGTGAAAAGAACGATAATTTGCTAACATATACATGCACACACACATATATATGTACGCACACACTTATAAATAATGCTAGGTATATATACATATGTATACATTAGCACCATATACATATGCATATACACATATACATATATATTATGCCAATGTATATTATATATAACATGCTAATATATACATACATATATGTATCATT